GGGGTGCAAATGGGAAAATGGTTTCCTGGGGTGTAAACGATCAAAAATCTGATGGAAAACATGGATCGTATTTTTCTAATCGCTAGTCGGGACTTGTGAACGCGTTGCAGCTGCGTGGCGTGCCGTTTAAATCTGATCTGACCACCCGAAATTTCTGAATCATTTAATAGTCCATCCCAAGTCGTCGCGTGCAACCTTTTTTGAAAAGCCGAAAAGACCGGATCAGAGATTCATAAGCGAAAATTGAAAAATTAAGGATTCTACGAAATTAATAATGTGGCGCTCCACCCCCGCTTGAACAAGAGAGAGAGAGAGAGAGAGAGAGAGAGAGAGAGAGAGAGAGAGAGAGAGAGAGATAATGAGTGAGAGAATGCCGACCGAAACCTGACAAGAAACTTCTAACCAAACGATGACCTAGACCACCGCTAACCGGACAGACGGATTGGGTTTACATCGTTCTGAGACCCGATCTGTCACTCCCCGAAAAATCCGTCTTATTTTTCGATTATTCCCATGTTCCCACGAACCGCCCGCGATTCTCCGGCCTGCGAAAAACAATACCAAGAATCGGGTGGTGATGAGAGGTGAAAAACGGCTGGTATCTATCTAAGATGAATTTTTCAGTGTTTGAATAGGTGGGTACGAGGAAAAGGGAGGAAGGGTGGGTGAGTAGGGTATGGAGTGTACGTGTGGAATTGGGTAATAGCTGGCGTGTATCTAGGAAAAATTGCCGTTTAGGAAACGTTCTATAATCGGATCAATTCGCTTTTTAAGGGGACCAAGAAGCCAATTAAATCAAGAGATCAAGAAATTCGGTTCCAACGCCAAGATTTTTATATTTTGGCTGTTTTACCGTAGCCCACGTTATCAGCTGACTTACATTTCAAATTACCGAAGTTTATAAGTTTCTTACCGTTTCAAGATAGATACATTGTCTCAGGTCCGTGCTACCACCCGAATTCCGTATGGATTCCACCTGGATTGCGGGTGGAAGGCCTGGAAATCGATGGGAAACGGGGCGGATGAGCGGAAATGAGGCGGAAGCACGGGGAGGACCGGGGGCGGATCCGAAGGGACAATCGGAAACCAATGGGAAGTCGATCCGATCCGATCGGTTTCCCTCAATTTGCGATCGGCGATCGGCTCCTGCTTCCACCCGCAATCCGGTCGATTTCCACGTGGAATCCGATCGCGTCCGCTCTGGGAATTCTGATCGTGTCCGATAGCGGACACCGACCGGATTTGGGGTGGAAGCACGGACGTGAGGTGGCGAATAATCTAGAAATTGTTGGATTTAGAAAGTATTCTGAAACTTTAGTCTACCAACCACCGCCGACATATTATGAATTTTCAACCCCCCTTCTAGTGTGTGTTGTTTTGCTTCCGGGGGCAATCCGCGTACTTTCTCAGCCCCCTAGAAAGTACGGCGCTTCACTATGCATAGAATTTAAGCCCGATTCACGACAAACTAGACAGGGAATGGACTTTTTCTTTCTATTCCGCTCGTGTATGTGTGAATTTTTAACATTTTAAAAAATCGTAGTGAATCGTCCGTCTCCAAAGCCCTTTTCCGGGTGTTTAATCTGTAGCCGTGCGTAGGCCGCTGGGGGCTTTATTCCATTCGGGGGTGTTCGTTTTTGCGTCGGCGTAGCCCCATTGGAATTGAACACAAAACCTATCGGACTGGGCTATGGGCTGGGTCCGTATTTCGCAGTCCCATTCTACCAATTGTTTTATGTGATGAATAATGGAAATCGGGCTCAAACAACGCGGCCATCGGGCCCGCCTTGGGGGGAGGTTGACAAATGTTCCCACAGCCCGGATGGGTCCACAAGGGCGGACATTTTTAATTTTTTCTTTAGTCAGGGGTTTTTCTAGTTTTCTAGTGGAGGAAAAGCGGTTTAAAGGGACGGCAAGCCCGAGTTTAACCTTTGGAATTCCTAAATATTGAAATTCTGGAAAATTACAGTTCCCGGACAACCGGAAAAGATAAAGTAAGAGAAAACAAACGAAAGGCAAAGACAAACGAAAACGAAAAAAAAAAAGAGAGAGAGAGAGAGAGAGAGAGAGAGAGAGAGAGAGATACAGAAAGGGAGAGAGTTCGAGGAAGCGAGAGAAAGAGAGCGAGTGTGAGAATGAAAGAGAGAATGAGGGAGAAAGACAGAAGTGAGAAAGAGCAAGCGCGAGCGAGACAGAGAGAGAGAGAGAACGAGAATGCGTTCAGAGGTGCTATTCGTAGCCGAGCTCCGACTACACCGGACTCCAATGTACATTCTTTCGTTTTGCGTATTTGAGCGACTATTTCCCTTGAAATTACTACACGGCCGTTGCGCTTGCCATTTAGTATACAAGAAAGGGAACAAAGCCGAGTTCAGGGACTTTGAAAAAAATTCTGTACAAAGCCTGCCGCAAAATAGAGATAAACAGAGCATTTCCAAATTTCTATAGCCCTTTCAAAAGCTCTATATAGCCGGCGTAAGAAGTAAAGGTGCGGAAAAATCGTGCAGATTAATCCACGCCCCTTTCTACCGTAGTTTGTGATCGGCGTAGTTTAATTCCCGCAAAAAATCAGTAACAAAAAAGCCAGAGATGGAGTATTTAGAAATAGACAATTTCCTTTAAAAGAAGAAAGTAATATCCGCGCAATTATGCAAAAGCAAACCTCTGAAGAATCTCCAGAATGGGGGATTTTTCTAAAAAAGGGATTAGACGAGATAATTGGTGCGGACGGCGGCGCTTCCTGTACTTTTGTAATGGACCTGGTATAGGCCCTGATAAACACCTGGAAAATAGATATAAAAGATGAGGTCTGTAGTACTTGAAAAGCGCATTATCTATCTAACAATTATCTGCACGTTTTCTAGGAAAAATCAGCAAAGAGCGGATTTCCGCGGAATTTGACGATAATCGGTCTACGGTTTTCAACCCATAAATTGCAAAATCTTCTACATGAAACTACGAAATAAGCTTCTGAAGGACTAAAAAAAAAGATGTTTATAAAAACTTCCGCTTTAAAAAGAGACGATTTTCACCGATAGAAAGATTGTATTTTAACGGAATTGCTTAGTAGGCTTTAACGTATTTTAATTTAATGAACACTATCAAAAATAAAGACACCTTGAAACAATTAAAACCATCAAATCTATAAGAGAAAAATGACCTTAGATGATTTCAGTGGTCAGAGACCCTAAAAATGCTCCAGGCGGCGTAAAGCATGACAGCATGAAACCCTAGCCGCCGTCGAAATTAGGCTGAAAAACCGGGCATTGACCTTCGCCTTAATTTTTACGTTTCAAAGGGCATATTAAACCCTAGAGAAAATGCTATATAATATTTCACATTTCACTGCTATTATATTTTTAGAGGTTCCGAGTTTTCCCATCGAAACGTGAGCACCCAAAATCAAAAAAAAATTCAAAAGCTCCACCCTTTCCCTGCAAGATCTTGCAAATATTCACCAGATGATGTACTTTCCGGGATTAGTAAATATCGGATTAGGGGAAAGTGACAATCTTTTGCCAAGTGGGAGCATGATCTTTGGGCAAGACGCTGATTTTCGGCGGCGACGTGCCCGGATTGCCGGCGCACCGGACCGGAAATGATAAAAAGGATTGGGGCGCAGGGCGCCGGGGTCAATTTCATTTTTTGAGCGAGAAACGTGCAAAATTCAGTTTGAATCGTGAATAATAAATCGAGGGATCACTTTCGAGCGGAGCAGAGAAAAGTTGCACTAGAAAATTAGAGGATCAGAAAAATGGGCGCTTTCGGCTTAGCAGGAGCGGGGGATTTTCACGTGTAATTCGTATGCAAAAAAAAAATAGAGCGAATTTTTGCAGCATTGCACAAAGTTTTTGAATCTAAAAAGTACGCAAAAAACCATAAAAATTTCGATAATTTTTGGGAAAAAAGTTGAAAACTTCAAATTAAAAATTAAACAAGAACATTTTACGGTCTCTATGAAATCAATGAAGCAAAAATTACTAAAAACGCGCTATAAAAATACTTCCTATTTTGTTACCAACTAGCTATAGAAGGAAACGCACAAATTAGTGTTTTTCCGGGCTAAACGGAAAGGCTTCAGATCCTAAAAATCACACAAATGACAGCCACTGGTTAATAAAATTTACCCAAAGTTCTTGAAGGCTCAAGGCCGTTGAGGAAGCTCGTGTATCATGGGCGACTTCGGAAATGGAGCGCCATATATCGTGGAGCGCAGCACAGCCGGCTGGATTGTAGCGGGGAGCGCTATGGAGACCCGGGCCTGGGGTTCCGGAAAGTTTTGTTTGAATGAAAAGTCATGAAAAATGGGCGGTGTATTGGACATCAATTTACGATTGGTGAATTGTCTTTGAAAAACCGGCTCGCGAAGGTACAACGAAGCTGCCAGAACGCATGTTACAGCAAGAAAGCAAGCGTAAAAAATCTTTTCATACATAAAATCCACCAATTTCAAATCAAGCACATTTCCGGAGGTGAATTGTTTTGAAAACGTTAAAATAAAGGTGCAAGCAGTAAAAACAGAGTCAACCTAGAAAAAGTTTAAAAATTCACACAGCGTCAGACGCTCATCGGTAAGTCTGAAAAGTCTTCTTCTGTCTCAGAAAATCTTCTAAAAATGCTGAGAAATCAAAAAAAGAAGACTTGCAGGGCCATGTACAAAAACAATCGTTGTTCTCTTGCAAACAAAGTCAATCTCGAAGCCTCCAATTTTGTTATCATTTTAGTGCTTTTACAACCTAAAAACCGTGTTGTAGCTCGAACCAGAAATGAAAGAATAAAGCTGCGCATAATCTAGCTCCATAATTTTAAAAAACCTAGTCATGACTCAGGAAAAATGAGGTTTTATGAGTATTTTACTACTTTTACAAACAATACAAAATAATTCCTACACCAAAATTTCTAAACCGTGCGCTGGCGACTACGCCTGCTACACCTTACGGACGCCATATTTTCGTAGAAAAGCCGTGCTTATTTCATTTTTTACCCAACCCACTTGAAGCATGGCCGCCCCGCTGCTCGACGAGGGCCCCGCACCGGAACTAGAAAGCGAACTGTTCGAGGCAAGTTCTTGATCTAAATTTTGAACTTTAGAAAGTTTAGGTGGTCGAGCGCTTCTCGTACAAGACGAAAATCTTCAACGCCGGCTTCGCGGGCATATGTGGTCGGCTATTTTCTTAGAAAAACTGTTTTAAATAGTTTTTTTTTTGCTAAAAAATGTTTCTAAACGATCTCAGACAGAATTGAGCTAGTAAAAAGAATGTGAAAACGATTTATCCGCCCAAAAACTACAGAAAAAGTTATTTTTGCGTGAAAAATAACTGAAACCCCTAAAAAAAAGTCTAAACTTTCCGTTCCAGGTGTCAGCTGCGTGTTCCCGCTCGACCTCATCAAGACGCGCCTCCAGAACCAGAATGCGAATAGCCCGATCTACAGGTGAATCTGTTTTTCATCAATGAATCCTTGTTCTAGAGGCATCACCGACTGCGCGCGCAAGACGTGGCAACGAAACGGCGGCAGCTTCTTCAGCAGGATAGGCGGATTTTATCAAGTAAGGAAATTTGCGATAGTTGATACATTTTTAGGGTGCCTCTGTGAATATATTGCTGATCACACCGGAAAAAGCGATCAAGCTCGTCGCCAACGACTATTTTCGGCATCAGCTCGCCACGCCGGGCGAGAAGAAGCTGGGCGCGCTACGCGGGATGCTGGCAGGTAGACTACAGCTTAAAAGGGGCCATTTTAGAAGATAATCGAGTTTTGCGATGCTCATTCGCTAGAACATCAAATTCTGAACAGTTTCTATCTTTTAAAAACTCCTGACGATCACGCTTTTCGAGAAAAATTTTCGAAAAGTTCCGATTTTGTTAAGCGCCGCCGAAAAAGGCAAAATCGGAACTTTCGTAGCTATTTTTTCTCCAAAACAGTTCTCCTGCAGCAATTTTTTAAAGCTAGAACTTGTTCAAAATTTCAAACTGGAAGCAGCTTGATTAAATCAGGAAGCCCGATTATTACTCAAAAACAACCCATGTAATCGCTAAAAATTACTTTTTCAGGCGGCCTCGCCGGGCTCTTCCAAGTGACCGTGACGACCCCGATGGAGCTGCTGAAGATTCGCATGCAGCAGGCGGAAAAGCGCGTCTCCCCAGCGGTGATCTTGCGGCAACTGCTAGCGGATCGCGGCTTTTGGGGGCTCTATCGAGGCGTCGCCCCGACCTTGGCCAGAGATGTCACGTTTTCGGGTACGCTTTAGAACAAAAGTTCTACGTTTTTAGTTATCTACTTCCCGCTATTTGCGAAACTCGACTCGATGGGCCCTCGGAAAAAGGATGGCAGCGGGGATGCCGTTTTTTATGCAAGGTATCAGACTCTAAATCGCTTTTTCAAACAGATCTATCAGTAGTCAGCTTAAAATCCCAGTGAAAACATGATATTTTCACCGCTTTTGGCGGCTCAAGTTCGAAAAAGAAGTCGTAGCAAACACAAGAATTTATCAGCATCGCAACGTCAAAACAAATAATTAATTATGAGCGTAACGGATTAATTGGTATCTTTGATTTCTTGGATTTCCTTTGTATCAAGCTGCTCGTTCAACCGCCGAATCTTCTCCGTGAAAATGCGCATCATCGGGAAATACACCTCGCAGTATTCCTCAAATTCCTTTGCTGCGTCTTTGATCGGGGCGAGCGCTTTTTTCGCTTCCGGAAACGAGTCGAGCTTCTTCGTCTTTTCGAGGCGTTGAATTCCCATGGCTTTTAGGGCTTCCACAGCCTTATCGACCTCTTGGTGCAGATATCGTAGATTTCCCGCCAGCCCGGTGACCGCTTCATCAAATCGGTCCTTGGCCACTTTGTTGATGACATCCAGCTCGAGCTCGAGAAGTTCAGCAACCTCGTGCTGTCGATGTATTTTGAAGGCGCACACCCCGCAGGCAGTAATTGCGCAATCCGTGCACCGAAATAGGTGTGAAAATTGGTGGACGAGGCCGCAGTCTCCACATTGTTGTAGGCCCTCTTCGCGTAGTTGGTTACCGTCTTCTTCTTAAAAATGAATTGAAAACTGGGTCGTTAACGAGAGGATTTTTCCTTAATCCACCATTTTTATAGCATTTTACAGTTTTAGCGATAAAAAGCACGCACAGATGAAAAATTTTCTAGAATTTTTGTACCTTTTGATGAAAAATGTTTGAAAATAATCAAATTTTCGTTTTTAAGCGTCAAAAATTACTAACTACGCTATAAAAATGCGATGTTTTTCTCCCCGCTAACAGTTCAGTACCTAAAAACTTGCGTATCCGCGAATCGTGCCATAACAACCCTCCTTCATCCATCGTTTCGCATTCCAGACATTTCACTGGCCCCTTGTTGTGGCAGCACGTCCAGTGACCGCATCCCAACTTGTAGGCCAACTTGGAGATGTTCAGTTTGACGCCGCACTCCTTACAACTCGGGTAGACGATCTGGCCGGTGTATTCGTATCCGGTATCCGTCTTCTCCAGCCCGGGCTGGTCGAGAAATTGGAGCAGCCCGCGGTACGGCACTTGTTCGGGGCCCTTGTCCTCGCATCCCGCACAGTTCGTGACTTTTGCCGGATCGCCCAGCACCGGCGTGTTCGGCATGCCCTCCTTGCAGTGGAACGGCTTCTTGCACGTGGCGCAGTTGAAGCACGTCAGCAGCATGGTCGTTACCTAAACTGAACATTTATCGAGCGTTTTATAACAATGCAATCTGTACATAGAAGGAATGGAAAGACGACGAAATTTTGGCAATAATACATTTCGCGCAAAAAGTTTAGGTTTCGAATAACAAATTTAGAATTTCCGTGAATTAAATCAACGACTTATTTTCCCAGATTTTTGTTCAGCTTCTCGTGCAGCTGGTGGACCTTTTCGGTAAAAATGCGGACCGCCGGGATGTACTCCTCGCAATATTCCTCAAATTCCCGCGCGGCTGCGTCAATTTCCGCGGCCACTTTCCTCGCGTCCGGAAACTTTGCGAACGTGGGGATTTGCTGGAGGCGCTGAAGTCCGGTGCCCTTCAAGGATTCGACGGCCTTGTTGGCTTCGAGGTGTAGGTAACAGAAATTTCCCTCTAGGCCGGAAACCGCCTCGTCAAACCTTTTGATCGAGCTGCCCTCAAGCAGATTCAATTCAATGCCCAGCAACTCGACGGCGCGATGTTCGCGGTGATTTTTGTAGGCGCAGAATCCACACAGGGTGCAGCTGCACTTCTCGCAACGAAAGAGACGCTCGATTTTGCCTTCGAGGTGGCAATCCGCACATTGATGGATGCCCAGCAGGCTCAACTCCTTTCTGCGCTCGACCAAAAGCGTCAGCATTCCGCGGTCACGATAGAATTTCTTGCTCTCGTCGATGGTTCCACATACCGGGCACTTGACCCTGTTTTTGGTGCGGCAGCAGAGAAGGTGGCCGCAGTGAAGCTTGTAGGCGCCGCTCTCATACACTTCTTCGCTGTCCGGCTTGCAAATACACGTCAAGCCCCGGGGAATCTTGTGAATTTCCTCCCAAACGTATCCATCGTCCGTTTTCTTGAGGGCCGGCTGGTCGAGAAATTGGAGCAGTCCACGGTACGGCACTTGTTCAGGATTCACCGTCTCACATGCGGCACAGTTCGGGGATTTCGAGGGGCCGCCAAGCATCGGCGTGTTTGGCATGCCCTCCTTGCAGTCGAACGGCTTCTTGCACGTGTCGCAGTTGAAGCACGTCAGCAGCATCGTCGATTATCTGAAAAAAGATAAATCAGTCTCAAAATTTAGAAAGAAAATGAAATAGAAAATACAAGCGAAAAACCCATTAAAAAGCTTGTGAAAACTTCTTTTTTTCAGTTTCGCCTCCGGATTGCTAGCGGCGGGCCTGGGCGCCTTTCTAGTCACCCCACTCGATGTTGTGAAAACGCGAATTCAGGTGGAAGTCCATATTTTTTTTAGTAATTCTAATTTTAGACCGGCGGCTCCGGATACCGAGGAATCGGGGAAGCGCTGTGTAAAATCTACGACGGCGAGGGCGTGCGCGCGCTGTTTCGGGGCGCCAGCTGCCGAGTTATGGTTTGTTTTTGTTTTCATTTCGTAAAAAGTATTTTTAGGTGATGGCCCCGCTGTTCGGCATCGCGCAAATGGTCTACTTTATCGGCGTGGCCGAGAAGCTCGGCATCGGCCAGGGCGGCGGCCCGAACGCGCTCTACAATTTTCGATCCCCGTTTGCGCTGTTGAAAACCGCGTAAATTTTTCGCTGAATGAATTCGTACATCGACTCTTACATATCTATTTGCTTTCCATTGATCATTTCTACAGCATTTTGTGATTGATATCGTTTGGCCGAAATGTAGTGCACATCGTGAACGGAATAAACTTTTGCTTTTGGATTGGTTTTATGAGAATGATGCAGCGGAGGACTGTGAGAATGGGATATCGGCCGATTCGGAAACCAGTTCTGGTTTATGGTATTCTCGTTTCGTGATATTGTAAACGAGAAGCTGCGCGAAAAAAAATGGCGCTATTTCAGTTTACCGGCCCCACTTATATATGGCCAAAATGACATTTTTCTGGGTCAGTTTTTTGCGCTGGTTACGGAAAACACTATCCCAGCCCACGAAAATGCGATTTAGAAAACAATTTAATCGGAATGTTGGGAAAATTCGATTTTACGGCGGCCGCGTAAAAGGAGTATTTTTGTGGTTTTTTAATTAAATCATGGCCAAAAACGGGTTTATCATGAGTGAAGTAAGTCAGTAGCATTGTCAGGCAAGGCGGGCCGTCGCTTCGGATGGGCTGCCGCTCCACTCTTTCGAAATAGGGGCGCCTGGCCGCTTCGCGCGCCTCGGGCGCCCCTATTTCGAAACCCTGTACGAGCTCGCGCCCATCCGAAGCGACTAGGCCCCGGGGTGGCACGAAGCCTTATTTTTAGGAAAAAAAGAGGGTGCAATCGCTCAGCCTTATTGGAAAAAACTTTTCCACTGATTTACAGGCCTCCCGCATCAAAACCCCTTTAAAAACCGAAAGTTAAGTGTTTTCCCCCCTCAAAATTCACGATTTGGCGTTCTAGATTTTGGTCAAAAAGGTAAATTTTTCTCATTAGATTGCATTTTTACGAGCTGGGGTGTCTTTTTTCGTAACCAGCGCAAAAAACTGACCCAGAAAAATGTCATTATGGCCATATATAAGTGGGGCCGGTAAACTGAAATAGCGCCAAAAAAATACATTACAGGTTTACAAAAGAAAAGTGAAACTGCGTTGAAATTTTGATTTTATTCGATTGACGCGGCGCCGCTATCGGCTTGACCTTTTGTTCCCATTAGTGCGTTGTTGCGCTTGGAATAGTTGCTTTTCATACCAGTCGCTTCTGAATATCAGTGTTTTCAAGCAGGGAGAAAGTAAAAATATTTCATTTATTTCGAAGCTTTTTGTAACGATTCCATAAGGTTAGGACAGCGAGAGACTACGCGACAAAAGCAAAGCGCGGTTCGTTATTTAGGAGATTCGACGCGAAGCTTGCTGTGCTTTCCTTTCATGCCATTAGTGCGTTTAGCGTTTACAATAATAGTCCGTTTTTTTCCATCTTCCAGCGAGTCGCAGTAGCAAGTTCCAGGTATTACTAGACGCTCTGTGTCACCTTGAATTCATAAAGAGCCGTTTTGAAGGCTTTTAGAGTTTCGCGGCGTGACCAAGCTCATTCGATAGAGCTTAAAATTCTGAACTAATCCCATCTTTCAGAAATTGCTAAACGATGATGATTTTGGCGAAAACTTGCTCGGAAAGGGCGGATTTCGTCAGCGTTAGGCCGCCGCTTATCAAAATCTAAGCTTTGAAGAAATTTTCTCGAAGTCGGAGGCTTTTTGGAAGATGGGATTTGCTCAAAATTTCAAGCTGTATCGAGTGGGCGATGTCACATCGCAAAATTCGAAAAGCTCATGAAAAACAGTCGCTTCTCGTTAGCGTAACGCCCAGTCATCGAATTACTTTATTTTGAAAAACACTGCGGGGACGGTTATCACAAGCATTAATGGTACAAGCGAATAGTGTTAGAGATTTCTTTTTTTTGTTCATCATTCAGCCGAGGGTGTCCCCATCCATCGCGTCGCGGCCGCTCATTTGTTGTTGGTGGTCTCGGCGAGCGCCTTGTTGTAGTCGACCGTGAAGTTCTTCAGGTTTTTCTCGCAGCCGGCCACTGCGCTCCCGAGCCGACGATAATAGTGGTTGAGCAGCACCTCGTGCACGTAGTAGTATTGGGGCCCCATCTGAAACACTTCTTCTTGTATGGGCCAGGTTTGCTAGTTGTTGATTAGGGGACTGGACTGTTAGCGGGGGGAACAACTGTTTCTGAGGTGTTTCTACACTGTTTTTTTTTGGTACTATTCCTAAACGTAGAAACTTTACAAATTCCTAAAAGTAGAAACTTTACCGATTTTTTTATTAAACGAAATGCAAAAAAAAACATTTTTTGACCAAAAATGGCCGTTTTTGAGCAAAATCCCGACTTTTTGAAAAGATTTGTGTTTTTAGATATTGCCAGTTAAAATACCGTTTTCTTTTACTAAAAATATTATAAAAATACTCCCTGTTAATTTACTAGGCATTGCTAGATTGACACACACGAACTGCCTCCCCCGATAATGCGAAAGCGCCCAATAAATGTATTTCTATATTGTTTTTTGTAATGTTTGATCGCAAGAAAGAGGTTAAAGTATTCTAAAAACTTTGAAAAATCAAAAAGTGTTGTTTATTGGCCTTTTTCGTACATGTATGCCATACATTTTCGACCAAATAAGCCAAATTTTCGAAAGTTTTTATAATTTATTAGATTGTATATTGTCTTTAGATCAAAAAAAAAACTATGTAAAATGCTATAGAGAATTACGGGGAAAACGAGAGGCACCTGGACGAGGGCGGCGCGGCTCTCCCTGCACTCCTTGAGCAGGTCCTCGACCTCAAACTGCTCGCAGGCCTGCACCAGGATCTTCTCCTGGATGGCCTGCAGCAAGACGATGGACCCGGTGCGGCCGATGCCCGCCGAGCAGTGCACCACGATGGGGACCGCGTGTTTGTTGGCCACCTTCTCGAGCAGTTCAATGGGGGCTTCGTCGGGCGGTGGGGCGCCGCGGTCCGGCCATTTGACCCACTGCAATGGGGTATGGGGATTTTTTTTGGATTTGAGACCTTATGAAGAGAATCCCCCCCCCGCTAACAGCCCAGTACCGAAGTTTCGATACATACATGGTAGTGCGTGACCGTCATCTCGGAGCCGAGACCGGCGACTTTCAGCGTGCACACGCGAATTTTCACCGGGGTCTCGTGCCGGAATTTGAACTAAAATACAGTTGCTGGTTTGGATTTTTCTATCATGACCAAAATTGTTTATATTACTGGTTTCGGCAACAGGCTAGTAAAGCAAAAGAACGTATGGCTAAAAAGTTAGGGTTGGGGGAACCCATTTTTGCCTAAAAAATCAAAAATATCTCGATATTTTTGTAATCTTTTCGATTCGGTATTGATTAGGGAAATGCTATAAACTGTAAAATGCTACAATATTGCTGAATAATTTGTGTTTAGGCGCGTGCAAGGTTACTGGAAAAATTGGTTTTTTTTTCAGCGACAAATCCCCCCTGTTAACAGCCCAGTACCGATATTTGTTGTTTTTATTCGATGTTTTTGGTTAGAAAATAGAAGAGAGAGCTTAGGAAAAACTCTAACATGCCAGAAATTGCACCCACGTCGCGCTCGAGCTCGTTGGTGAGGATGATCGGACCGTGCTCAGGTGTTTGGAAGGTCATCTCCTGCCCCTTCTCCTCCGGGTAGTATCTGGCGCACTTCGGCTTGTGCAGCTCCTCGTACTCGCACAACATGATGATCGACTAAAGTGGTCGTTGAGGGCCAAATTCTACCAGAAGAGCGATACCTCAACCTTCTCCTGGATGACCATCATCCAAAAGTGGCCGCACGTCGCGTCCATGGGCCCCTGGGCGCAGATGAAGCGCTTCGGGCTGAGGAAGGTGCCGACGTAGTTTGCGTGGATGTACTCGTCGGGGTTGGCGCCGGCGACGCGCACGCGGTTGTGGTCGAGGCAGCCGACGTCCTGAACGAGTTCAGTTAGGAAAGAATGCAGCTGGATCTTGGCTCCCCCTTGAGCTACAGAGTCGTAAAGTATACCAAACAGTTTGCGTTGACCTGGCGAGCATTTTGTTATACTTTATGGACCTGTAGCGCATCAGGGAAGTGAGTTACAGCTGCGCCATTCGCCCCCACCTTGTATCTGTTCAGCTTCTGGTTGCGGCTGAACACGGTGCACTTGGCCATGTTGTAGACGCGGGGGTTTCGGGCGAACTCGACTTTCAGGGTCTAAAAAGTGAACGGAAGTGCTGGGTACTGGTATCTTATCGGTGGGGGGGGGGGGTAGCGGGTAGCCCCCGCTAACACCCAAGTACCCAGCGTACCTTAATTCCCTTCTTGAGCGTCTGGCCCATGAAAGCGGCGGCGGCACTCTTCTGGGCTTCGCTGAGGGGCGCCCTGCTATCCGTTGGTTTGTGGCTGGTCGTTTCGCGCGACATCGCGCCGCTATCTTTCGACTTTTGGCGCTTGCTCGACTTGTGGCGCGGCTCGCCGCTCGTTTCGCCGCCCTTTCTGAAAATGAAGAGAATGAGTTGGAGGCTAAGGTTTAGTACAGTATCTTTGCTCCCCAGTGTGCCACAAGGTTGTAAGGCATACCAAAATGCTCGCCAGATAAAGACGAACATTTTGGTATACTTTACATCCCGGTAGCGCATCGGTGAGCTGAGATACAAAAGTTGAGTGGCGGCGACGTCCGAATCGCACCAAATGACACTTACTTTCCCATGGAACCGTGGAGCGCGCTGGCGGCCGGGGCGCTGATGAGGTGTCGATGGAAAAAATGACTTTTTCGGCGGCTTCTGATCGTTTTTTATAGCGGAAAATTAGCATGCAAATGTAAAGCACTTCCGGTTGCTGATTAGCATATGGAAATTCCTGAACCAATTTCGGTTTTTGCAGCTTTACGAAGCTATGGTGCATTTTTCGAGTCCAACAACCGTAATTTACGCCTTAGGAGTCCCTTAAAACGATATGGAATAACAACAAGCGAAACTTACATCGTGCTCATGCTCAGAAAAACATTCACTGGTGAATGAGGTAATTTTTTGTCAATATTGGGTAAAAAATGTTTGTTTTTTTCGAAAATTTCAGTAATTTGGTTGGTAAGAGCATGTTTTTTTTTGAGCAAGAGCTACCATTTAGATTTCGCAAACTGTTCTTCCAAACGTTTTCAGGGCCTCTAAAGTGCGAGTTTCGGAAATTTTAGCAAAAATTTACTGTACCTTAGTAATTATTGTCATTTTGGAAAATCTAAAAATGTATTCGTGCTCAGTTCAAAATTCCGAACAAGATCGGCTTGGCTACAATACGAGTTCCATCTCGCTTCATGTCTTTCCCTGGTTAGTCCCTGTAAGATATTACAGCTCTTTTTCGTTGCCTCCAAATGTGCTGTAAATTCCGGGTGCCTAAAATTTTCATTTCGAGCTCTTCGTGCACCCGGTAACCTCCGCACACCCGGCCCCGGAATTCGATTTATTTTGGGAGCGGTGTGCTGCTTTTGGGGGTGGATTCTGGGCTTGGGCTTGCCTGTGTTTTCGGGTGCACACGTGAAGGCGATGTGTGTGTGGAGATGGAGGATGGAGAAAAGCCCACTAACGAACGAACGGCACGGGGCAACGGGACAATATTGGGCCGCCTGCCGTCTTTCCTAGGTTTTTTTGGTTTTGCTGAGGCTACCTTGGGGCAAGGTTTGGGTTGCAACTTTTTCGCAAGAGTGGGACGTCTGCTTTTCCCCTGGCGTGTCTACTGTTAAATTCAAGTTTTCCACGCTTCCGGTTTTTATGGTAAGCATTTAAACCCTTTGTGGATGCAAACTGTTAACAAAATTTGCTCCCGGGTCACGTCGGAGCTGGTGATGTGTCGCAGCTCGAGTTGCGGTAGGTTCGTTTTGTTTTGCGGCTACCTTCACGGCGTCGCTGGCGTTGCGTGCGTCGCATGTTACCTGCGTGCCTCCCGATCCTGCCGCTTCGCGGGTACAAGCGGACCTCAGTCGTCGCGGGTCGCGGCTTGCGTCACGGCCACCTGTTTTTGCTTTTAGCCTCATTTTGCGGTTTTAGATTTCCTTACGTTAGCAAAAGCCGCCTTTGCGTCGCGGTTAGCGTTGGGGCACAGTTCATCGTGATTCGCGGTGCTGCTTTGCGTCGCGTTGTCGTGGCGTCCTAGCTGGCTTTGCGCTCTTCAGATTTGCGTTGCGGTTAGTGCTTCGCGGCCGCCTTTCGTCGTCAGCTAGCTTTGCGTCGCGGGCAGCGTTGCGCGTCCTATCTTCTCATGTTCGTCGTAGCTCTGGGCTCCGAATTAGGAAGCGGAATTCTGATTCTACGGATTTCTGGCTATTCCTAGGATAGCCGAGCTTCAAAAACCGACTCTTCCACGTCGTTTGCATCAACTCGTCCCAAAACATCCAGCACCACGCTTTGCAATCATAATTTATTTTGGTTCAGCAGCAGTGAATTCTTAGAATCCTCCTACTCATCGTGCCATCTTGGGGTAGGACATCCAATTAGACATGTGTTGACTTCAATTTCATTCTTTCGGGGCGGTCTCAGACTCGGGATTTGGGTCCTCCAATTACAGCCCTGGGATGTCGTGGTTGCCAAATTTTTTGCTGGACCTTCATTTGTGGGTGAGGATGGCCTGGGATTTTTAGAATTTGAGTTTTTTCCGGAACAGAGTTTTAGAGCTTTTTTTCAATAATAATTTTTCATCCAGAATTCTGGCATGACAAGGATGTTTTTAAGTGTCGTTCGTCGCCCTAGGTCTTGTCGGTGTTAGTTTGAAGGTCGCGAGAGCTTACGGTTTTTCGCCCGTAGATGCACTTTGACAACCCCGCCTTTGTTAAAACCTTTCTCAACCAGTTTACCTTTAAAAATTCCACCCATTAGGCGGAAGCCCTTCCACCTACTGAAGCCACAATTCCCAAAAAAGGTTTCGATAAGCCAGATCTCCGATTTTTCTCAGCCATTTTATGTGGGCTGAAGTTTGGTCAACGAATATTTGCGTGCAATATAAGACCGCGGTCTTGAACTTAGCCACAATAGCGTTCTTTTCCACAGTATCCGCGATCCATGCTAAAAATTTTTCTATGAATATTCCGAGATTTTCCACCCAAATCCAGGCAGAAATGGACAAGCTAATCGCAGGCGATATTTCTTCTAAAAGATGCATGCTCTGCCAACCTAAACACATGCTATCAAACGGAACACGCCGAGTATTTATTGCTGGCAATTTTGAAGATGGCGCTGCCCCGCCTTTTTATGGAAAGCGATAAATTCGGGATGTTCGGGCCGCGACGCATATTTTTGCACATTTAAAAAAGGCAAGATACAGACAGCTTTTCTCCGTTTAAAAAAGTGCATCTTTCCCTCTCTCGACCACTATCTCTCGCTCGCTCTCTCTTCCTCTCTCTCTCTCTCTCTCTCTCTCTCTCTCTCTGCCTCTGTCAGTGTCTCTAGCTGTCTCTCTCACTCACACTCCCTCTCTCTCGCTCTCTCTCTTTTTTCACTCTTTCGCTATCTCGCTGTCTCTCACCCCTCTCTCTCTCGCGCTCTGACCGACTCTGTTCGAAGACCTTTCATTTGCTTCAGGAAAATTGCTGTCGATTTCCCAATCTCTTTGCAGACGCTAGATTTCTGTTTTACAAATCCCTTTAGTCTCGTGAGGATTCGGAGAATCCAAATTTTCAATCCCCGAAAAGTGGCGTGCCGAATTCGGCCCAAATTTACGACGCCATAACTCTCACTTTCGGCCATCCGGCGGCTTCTTGGGTGGGCCCCCTCTTCATTTTTTGGGGCCCAGCCAAAGAGAAGGGTGCCATCCCCCCATCCCTTTTTCCTTTCCGGGTCTTTTCGTCGTGTTGGTTTCTATCTATCTATCGCTGGTGGGCCACAGCAGCAGAGTTGCCCGGGGAGATTAATTGCCGTCGTGGTGGCTGGTGGGTGGTGGGGGACCACGTCGCGTAAATCATCCCTTCCGAATATTCCAGCCGGGGACACGCTGCGCTGTATTCAGCTATTCATTACGCTTTTTACTTGGCTGATTATTTTCTGTCCGGATTTTTCGGATTTCGAATTTTTGCGACTTTCCTGACTATTCCGTGTCTTTCCGATTTTGGCCTATTTACGTACAGACTGGCGGATTTTAGACGGCCTTACAAAAGCAGCTGTTGTTAGCTGAACAAAGCATTTTTTAGACAAATAGGATAGCCTAGTCCGTGACCAAGGATTTTTGCGACATTTTAAACCAGTACAACGCGATTTCGTCGGAAAAATTGCCAAAATCGCATAGTTTAATCCCAATAAAGTTTGCGCTTGGTAGAAAATAGTCTGTAACATCTCTAGCAATAGCTTTCTCTCTCGCACTCTCTCTCTCTCTCTATCTCTCGCTCTCGCGCTCTCTCGCTCTCTCACTCTCTCACTGGCTCTCTCGCTCTCTATCTAGTTCTCTATCTCTCGCTTTTTCTTGCTTTTCATGCTTTTCCTGCAGGGCTGTAATACATGGCGTAATCGGTTAGTTTTGCCGGATTGTAAATTGGCTTCCAAAATTTCTTTCTAAATTGTTTGATTGGAGATAAAAGCAGACAAAAAAAGGAATTCTTTGTGCTTTTAAGATGCGGCCAAAATATATCCTCAGAGCTCTCCCACCTCTTCTTAAAGTATCGCCACCCTACCCATTCCCCCTTCCGTATATTGCCCAATTTTGGGGCCCAGAACCAATAATTCCCCTTTTGGTGCTCGGCTGCCCGTTTTCTCCTTTGCTCACTTTTCGGAAAATTGCGCCCAGCAAAAAAAGGTGGTTTGATTGCAGATGCGTGGGGATGGCGTTCAGCTACCAGAATCCGCTCATCTCGCAGAATACGATGAGGCACGGGCTGGCTGGCAGGGATCGCGAATATGGGGATGAGATACCGATACCGTTGGCAGGTGGGTGAAACGTTTTTTTTGGTTTTAAAGGGACTCGAAAGTGACGTATTAGTCTGCCCTGATCCTTGAAAATGACAACCTTTGTGTGTGCATTAATCAAACAGTTACACCGGGTTTTAATGGGATCGGAAAATTCGAAATATTCCCAGAAAAAACCTCGAAAACGCTTATCGTTTGCTAAAAAGCTACACCAGACTCGATTTTCTGTTAAAAATTCTGGAGCTATTAAAATAAAATGGCTCAGAGCCAGGTGTGAACAGGAAATTAAGCATACCGGGGTCTTTGAGCTCGAGTTCAGAGCTGTTTGCAGCTTCGACCGCGTATTTTGTTGTTTTTCTTGTGTTGTTTTTTAAAATTTTTTCCACGATTTGTTGCATTCTTCTTGGACTTCTGGTTCTCCCTCCCTCTCTCTCGTTCGAATCTCTCTGTCGCTCTCTCTTGCTCTCGCTCTCTCTCTCTCTCTCTCATCTCACTGTCCCTCTCTACCCCCTCTCTGTCGCTCTCTCTCTCCCTCTCTCTTT